TTGAGCCAGACCCAGGACACCACTGACCCGTGCAGCCTTGCGACACTGCTTCCTGCATCCTCGTTGCTCCAGTTTGAGCATTGACACAAAGGGCCCCAGATGCTGTTTGTGCCACCACTCCAGAGAGCTCAAGCTGCCATAAACCTTTGTGTCTTCCATGTGGTATGAAGCCTGCAGGTGCACAGCTGTGCAAGAGTGAATAAGGTTTGGGATCCTCTGCCTAGATTTCAGAGGATGTATGGAAAAGCCTGAATTTCCAGGCAGAAGTCTGCTACAGGCATGGAGCCCCCACAGAGAGCCTCTACTAGGACAGTGCCAAGTAGAAATGTGAGGTTGGAGCCCTTACAGGGGACTGCCTACTGGAGCTATAGGAAAGCAGGTACCATCCAGCAGACCACAGAATGGTAGATCCTCTTGCAGTTTGCACAGAGCCCCTGAAAAAGCTACAGGTGCTCAATAACTCCTTAAAGCAGCTGTAGGCGCTGTACCCAGCAAAGCCACCAGGGTGGAGCTGTCCATGGCATTGGGAGCTTAGCCCTTGCACTGGTATGCCCTGGATGTGGGACATGGAGTCAAGGGAAATTATTTTGGAGCCTTATAGTTTAATGGCTGTCCTACTGGGTTTCAGACTTGCATGGGGCCTATATCTCCTTTCTTTTGTCCAATTTCTCCCTTTTGTAACTAAGACTGTTTACCCACTGCCTATACCCCCATTGTATCTTGGAAGCAAATAATTCATTTTGCCTTTATAGGCTCATAGGTGGAAGGAACTCATTTCCAGATAAGACTTTGGATTTGGGACTTGGAACTTTTGAGTTAATGCTGGAATATGTTCAGACTTTGCAAGGACTATTAAGAAGAGATTATTGTATTTTGAAATGTGAGAATAATCTGAGATTTGGGAGAGTCCAGGAGCAGAATAATGTAGTTTGGATATTTGTCCCTTCCCAAATCTCTTGTTGAAGTGTAATCCCCATTGTTGGAGATGAGCCCTGGTGGGAGGTGTCTGGAATATGGGGCCATCCCTCATGAATGGTTTTGGCTATTCCCTTGCTGATAACTCCTCTTTCCCACCCTCTCTCTTGCTCCTGTTTTCACCATGTGAAGCACCTGCTCCTGCTTCACCTTCTGCCATGAGTAAAAGCTTTTTGAGGCCTCCCTAGAAGCAGATGCTGGTCCAGTGCTTCCTGTACAGCCAGCAGTACCGTGAACCAATTAAACGTCTTTTCGTATAAATTACCCAGTGTCAGGCATTTATTTATAACAATGCAAGAATGGCCTAATACAAGGACCTTATTAAACCAAAGAGCTTCTGCACAGCAAAAGAAAATACCAACAGAGTGAACAGACAACTGGCAGAAAGGGAGAAAATATCTGCACCCTACGCATCCAAAAAAGGTCTAATATCTAGAATCTATAAGGAACTTAAACAAAATTAATAAGCAGAAAATAAACAACCCCATTAAAAATTTGGCAAAGGGCATGAACAGACACTTCTCAAAGGAAGACACATATATACAGCCAGCAAGCATATGAAAAAAATGCTCAACATCACTGATTATTAGAGAAATGCAAACCAAAACCACAATGAGATCCAGTTTCATAACTGTCAGAATGGGTATTATTATAAAGTAAAAATCTACAGATGCTGGTGAGGTTGTGGAGAAAAGGGAAAGCCCATACACCACTGGTGGTAATGTAATTAGTTCAGCCACGATTGAAAGTTTGGAGATTTCTCAAAGAACTTAGATCTACCATTTGACCCAGCAATCCCATTACTGGGTATATTCCCAAAGAAATATAAATTGTTCTACAAAGACACATGAGGCACACATATGTTCATTGCAGCACTATTCACAATAGTAAAAAGACATGGAATCAATGTAAATGCCTATCAGCAGTGGACTGAACAAGGAAACGTAGTTCATATAAACCATGGAATGCTATGTAACCATAAAAAAGAATGAAATTCTGTCCTTTGCAGCAACATCGATGGAGCTGGAGGCATTATCCTAAGCAAATTAATGCAGGAACAGAAAACCAAATACTGCAAGTTCTCACTTACATATGGGAACTAAACATTGAGTACACATGGACACAAAGAAGGAAATAATAGATACTGGAGCCTACCTCCTAGTGGGTGGAGAATGGGAGGAGGGTGAGGATCAAAAAAAGACTTATCAAGCACTATGCTCATTACCTGGATATGAAATAATCTGTACATGTAATCCCCATAACACATAATTACCCGTCTAACAAACCTGCACGTATACCTCCTTGAACCTAAAATAAAAGTTGGAAGCCAAACAAACAATCCTTTGTGGTTTCCTTATGTCCTACCCACACTTTTGTAAATAATTGCTGTATTTAACTCTCTTAAATGATATTAATTTGAGTGTTCCTTCCCTTTCAGCTGGAAATCTAATACCTGAAGTCTTTCTACTCTTCTTAGCCATAAACTTTTAGTCCTTTCTTTCTCCATATTAAACCTTTAGTCCTCAAATACTATCTTTCTCTCTCTGCTTTATGCTATCCTGAAATTTAATAATTATACTTTTTAAATTTTTTAACCAAGTTATTAATATAATTGTAAACAGTTTAGGGATAAGAATAATACCTGTAGAAAGTTACTACAACACATTATCCCTCTCTCCTGATTGAGTGGATTTATTTATAACACACATTCGTATAATTCCACCAGTTACTAATTTACTGAGAAAGTTTTCAATCTTTATGCCTGCATTTTGGTCATTCTTTAATTTCCATGCCCTCTGATTCCTCCAAAGGCCTTAATCATAGGAAGTACAAGATTTCAGTGCTTACACATATTTAGCCTCTGTTTATCCCTCAATCTTCAGCTTCTGCCAGGTAGCAGACAGAAATTCAGATATACTTGCCAAATGGCAGTCTGATGGAAGATTTCAGCTTTTTCGATCTTGGCCTCCCTTTGAAGCATCATGTAGGAAGGCTCTGTGTTGATGCTCTCATGATACTTGCTGTTTTACACCTGATCACACCTGCTGACATTAAGGAGCATCAGCATACTAACAACAGACCTTTCTTAATTTTCTTCTGTAGCCAGACTGCATCACACTGAGCACTGTGAGCTAGAGAATTAAGATCAATCTGAGGTATCTGGTGAAGTTAGTCCATTTGACATGACACCATAATATATTTTATTTAAACTATGTAATATGTTTGTAAAGGTCTCTGTATCCTGATTATGGAAAAGCATAAGCAAAGACAGATTTTTCAAAATTCTCTGTAAGTAATTGGCTCATAATTGCTTTTATGGTAATCTGTCATTAAATCTTCTTCAGAGAGTCTAATATAAATGATCAAAAATAAATTGCTGTAATTATTTTGTGTTTATGAGGATACTGCTCTTATTTGTACAAGTATTTTCAGTCCCTAAATATATTTTCATGAATCAAAGTCAACTTTAGAGCACTATCTCTTTATGAGATAGACACTGACAGTCGGAAGGAGAAAAAAAATATGTAGAGAGATTTCAAATTTCAATTTGGGTCTTAACTTCTTGGATTCTATAGAGAAGAACTAGGAAACATGTGCAAACTCATTTCATTGTTGTGTTTCCTTCAAGGATTGGGAGCATATTGATTAATTAATGAAGAAACAGGTCAATAGGGGAACACAGGATAAAAGGGCTAAATCATTATTACTAACTAGTGATTCTTCTATCCTTTTTTACTAATGATGTGACTATTTCAAAATTGAAAAGTGCATCATTTAACATCTTTTTTTCTTGTTTTTCCTTGAATAATAATAATGCTAATAGTAATAGTAAATATTTAATACACACTTACTGTGGTTGGCCCAAAGTCTGGAAACATAATCAAATGTGCACTAAAATGGTTATTAGGTTATTAGTATTACGTTACAATACATGATTTGTTCAGAAGCCTTACCTGATACTTTCAGTGCCTTGCCTCTCATCAGGCTAGAAAGGATCATCCTCAGATAAGCTTCATAGAACTTGCATCTTATATGGTTGAAAGGCAAGTGTTTTGGGAATCACTGGGACAGTTCTGCAAGGCACCTCCAATTCCTTGGGTGTTTGACAAGATGATCTCTTTCGTTGGTTATGACCGTTGACTGTGACTATTTCCTCTACCTTGTTGGAAATAGATAATTGTTCACAGAAGAGTTTGTCTAACACACTATTATCTTGAATTTTTAAGCTAGTTTTCTAATTGTACTATGGGAAATGGCAGCTCTTCCAAGATGATATGCAAAGAAGGGCTCTGCAATCGTTACGATCAGCCATTTCATTTGCTTATCAGCATAAGCCCAGTGTATTCATCTTTCATCAACCTGTCAAACATATAAAATGACGATATCTATGTTTCCAGATTTTACAGAACCTCCTGTATATGCTGGGGAATCTTCTAAGGGAATCTTCTAAGAATTTTTTGTTTAATCCTTTTAACAAATCTGAGTTGGCTTTTATTATTATTTCCATTTCACAGAGGAAAATGTAAAGGCACAAGGACATTAAGTAACTTGCTCAAGATCACAGAGCTGGTAAATGTCAAATCATGGGTCTTGTGTTTTAGGAAGGATAATAAAAGGAGAAAAATGAGTGAAGTAATATTGTATAGGTAGTAGAACACAAATATTTTGCTGTATGTTTATACAATCTAACTGAATGTTAAATGTAACCTGCTTTCTTGCTTGGATATTAGATGTCAAACTTTTAAGACATGTCAAAATCATTTTCAGAGAGTTTTTCTGATATCCATACTTTTCCATGAAAGTACTGTGTGGCCATGGACAAATTTTTAGTATCTTCATACCTTCAAAAAATAGAGATGATTATTTTAGTCCTCTATGAGGTAAGTTGCTATTTGGGAATTTGAATGTAAACTCTTTTTTTTTATTTCCTTGGAAGAAAGTCACACTATAAAAGCAAATTTGGGCTATTATAATGACAAGTGTGTGAGTGTACATTAATTTCTCCCTTATGTTCTTATTGCCAGCAGATGGAGGTCGAAATTGAATTGCTGCTGACTGTTGTCCCTTGTTATGGCCTGTGGAGATATGACAATTGAGGAAGAACTTAGAGGAATGCCAAGTAACAGAGCATAAAGCTGTGGGTGTGGCCCACTGCCTTGGACATTTTATGGCTGATAGCACTTGGCAAGGAAAAAATGCAGCCTTGAAAGTAGCCTTGCAAATAGATTTCAATATCAGCCATGCCTCCACAGTCACCTCTATTTGATATGACCTGTAATATATGCTTTGTCAAAATCCACTCTTCTAATACTCACCTACTTCACTGGTCCCCTTGCAAACTGCCTAAATAACTAAATAAATAACACTTGAAGAATTTCTTTGTTTCATTACACATTTGGGCACAGATAGTACAGGCAAGGCACATGAAACCCTTTGTCCATCTACTTTCAATTCCTTTTGGGCTTGCCTTTTTTTTTTCTTTTTTTTTTTTTTTTTTTTTTTTTTTTTTTTTTTTTTTTTTTTTTTTTTTTTTTTTGTCTGACCAGAGATTTTTTTTACCTAGGGAGTCCTTGGATGCTTTTCCAGGGATGCCTGATCCATGTGAACTGAAAACTCTGTATCAGTGCATGCAACAAAGTTCATGTTTTCCCTTTAGAGCAAAGGTCTGTAGCTTTCACAAAATTCTCAAAGGAGCTTGGTACTTCAAAAAGTTTATGAATTCCTACTTTGGATCTTTGGTTTATGGAGCAATGAAACTTTGTATGTTTGCTTTAACGATTGAGACACAGCATTTTATGTGAATTAGAACAAGGGAGTGGTGGAGAAAAACAGCTTGGAGGGCATTATTACCTTTCCCAATCTTCACTTCTTGTCATGAATTATTAATCATGAGGTAACACTTCATCTGATGCTTTGAAAACTCTCCCCCTGGTAAGAACAGCCTAATTGAATTGGAGGAAGTGGAGCAGGAAGAACTAAACATGGACGTTGATGGTTTCACCAAAAGCAATTATACACCCTACAGCCTTCTCCACCTGTTTGAAAACCCAAGGCCCACTAATTCTCATACCACAAGGGAATGAATGGAAAAAATAGAAGAAAAATTAAAATTGTTAAGCTTCAAATGTATCTTCCTTGAGAGTACCCCACTTGGCAAAAGGGTGTATGTGGGGCTACAGTAAGGGATGTGGGAAAGGGTCTGATACCCTGGAGATCAGAGTAGAAGTCAGTCCAGCTTCTCTGGAGGGCAATTTGGCAACGTAACAAAAACTCTAACGCAGGCATACTTCTACTTAGTAATATCAGTTTTAGGAGGCTCAGTTCAGTAACATACATGGATCTAAAAATTTTAAATAATCCATATGTGTAATAGAATATGAAACAGTCATTAGCATAATAATGAAAACATTTTGACATGAAACTATATTTTTATATTTTGTTTCTAAAAAGATAATAAACCAGTATGTACATGCGCAAAGTATAGTAAAATCTCCCATTGATAAGAAAAGTAATATTATAGAATTGGAGAATATGCGCCTTAAGGCACATTTATATATAAGCATAGAAAATAATCTGATGGGATATGTATTAAATGATAAATATGGTCCCCAATGGGTGATGCAATTGTGGTTAGCTTTCCCTATATTTATTTTCAACTTTTTCTACAATAAGCATGTACTACTTTTGTCATTACATGTACTAATAAAAGTCTAGACAATATCTTGTTTTTTTCGAAGTTACAGACTTTAGGTCTAACATCAACAATCTTATAGGCAAAAAATGCAACCCTTGCCAACCTTCAAAGTCTGGGTTCCAACCATCAGAAACTGTAGCAGACAGAGGTGATGCAGAGGACCCTCCTTCCTCTCTCCAGATGACAAGGAGAGGCCAGTCCTGGGCTCTTTCCCTAGGTCTGAACCATTCCCTTCTATCCACAACCATAGGTTAAACCAAAGTTTCAGCCAGGTTAAATTGTACATATAAATGAATATAAAGATATTTTAAAATAAAACAAAAAATAAGCTCCGGTCCTAGCAGAATTTCCTGCTTCATGCCACTTACATGCTACCTTTCCTTAGCTCTCTGCACTTCTCTAGTAACAGCATTTTTCAAACTACGCTAGAAATATCCTGTGTGTTTTCATTATGGAATGCAAACCCTTTTCATCTTGATTTCCATTATATTCCTGGTGCCTAGCAGAAGACTCCAACAATAAATGTTGAATGAATAAATGACTAAATGAATACATAGATGAAGACCATCAAGGAAGGACCAACTCAGCTACCTTGGTTTTCCAAAACACAGACATAATAAAATCTAAGACCAGGAGACAGATATGTTTCCAAAGCGAATCAAAATAGGGCAGGCATTCCCAGTGGGGTAAGAAATTATGACCCAAAATCATGTATGTGGGGCTTTGGAAGGGCTAGCAAGGAGGGAAGGAGTGCTGCAAAAATGCAGCTGAAATGAAAAGGCAAAGATGAATTGCTGCAGTTATATTCCATCATTATAAATGACATTACCATAAGGATGGAGGAACAAAGGTTGTTTAGTTTGCAGAGAAGTAGATTCTTGAATGGGTGAAAATTAAATCTGCTGGATGATTTGAAGTGGAGATATCACACAGGATGATTTTAGCCACATAAACAAGTTGGCCTTGTGCAATGATTTCTATTCAACCCCCCGGCTTCCTGGCCTAAGCTGATTATTATTAAGCATTTATGTGGCATTTCATATGTACAAGTACTTTACAATCATTTATTATTTATTCCTCACAACGTGAGAAAGCCACAAATCAAGGGCAGGGATAAAGTTAATACAATTTTATTAAACAAGAGGAGTGTGCCTAGCAGCAGGCTCAGCTACAACCAAGGAGTGTGACCTCGCTGGAGAGAAACAACGTGACCATTACTTTTTTTCTTTTTGTGCTGCAATTTACACTTTTAATCAGTATAAAGTCAGGTGATTCTGTACATCTGGGAGACCTCTAGGGAGTCTGGCAGCCTGATGTGCCAACTCAAGGGAAAGCCTGCCTCTGAGTCTGTCATTCCTCTGGAGCTTCTCCCTCCATTTCTCCCTTTCTTTTTGTTTCTAGCTTTCACTTCCTATATTTATTTATTCTCTTTCTCTTCTTTCCTTCCTTCGTATTTTTCTCTCTCATTTCTGTTTTTATTTCCTTCCTCCTTTTCATCTCTCTTTTTCTGATTCTCTTCTCTCCTCTCTCTGCTTCTTTGCTCTCTGTCTCTTTGTGTGTCTGTCCCTCTCTCACACACATACACACACACACACACAGTCACTACACAGGGGAGAAAGCAGAATCTGAAATGTTGGGAGATGCAGAAGATCATTTCTCTGTGAGGCAGCACTCCTTCACTGCCTTCTTTTGAGACCTGACACAGGGAAAATTTTAACTCAATTTATACAGGGAGAATAATGCCACTGTTAATCCAAGTTGCTTGGAAGGTCATTTAAAAACCATTCCAGGTTGTTTTACTCCCACTGCTAGTGTTCTTCAGGCACTTCTCATAAATGCTAATGAATAATTCACCTTGGTAGTATAGACAAACAGGCTGGTGGTGTCATTTGGAAATCATTCAAATTGACTAATTAGTCATTTCCTGTAGATGTTATTTAACAAAGGAAAAGGGATTTTGAGATATCTGGTGAATTATACATCATTACATTACTAAAAACTGAATAGTTCATATTAGTTTGAGGAAGGATCAACCTAACTTAGTGAAAAAGCCTGAATGGTTGCAAAGGTTAAAAATTGTATATAAACTTACTACAATCTAGGCAGAATTTTATTACAGTGAACAAAAATATCTTAGCTGGAGGATTCATTGGCCCAATTTTGAGACATGGATAATAATCATTTGTCATTAACACATGTACTGAAAACAAAGAACAGTGGATGAACGATGTACATAAAATTTCTTTAAATACTATTTATTCGTAACCACCTACTATGTGTTGGATGTATTGTTCTACATGCTGGGGATAGAGCAGGGAGCTGCAGAAAAGGTTCTTGTTTTTACAGAGCTTAGATTCTAGTGGGAATATTTCATAAAAATAGAAAAAAAAATGTAGGTGGTAGATAATAGATGATACATGAGAGGGATAAAAAGATAGACACTAGGTAATAGATAAAAAGATAGCTAATAGATGCTAGATATGGATAAATAGATAGATGATACATAGATAGGATGAATGACTTTCACATTATGACAATTGCTAGGCAGAAAATAGAATGAAAGTGACTATGTATGTGTTTTGAGATGTGTTGGGTGTTATTTTTAGAGATAGGTCAGGAAAAGCCTTCAGGGAAGATGCTAGAGCAAGGACCAGAATATTGAGAAGAAGCCAGCTAGGAAAATCTGAGAATTCCGAAGACAGGGATATGCATAAGCAAGGCTGGAATTAAGTAAGTGTGCTGAAATCCTAGCGAATAAAAGGATGGTGGGAGAAAGCTGCACCATCTGAACAGGCACCAAATTCTGTTGTTTTTTCCTTTTGCTTATCAAGCTCTTGATAGTTAATAAAAGGACATTTTCGCTTCAGTGACTGAGTCATCATAATTCTCAATTATTGATATGAGCAAGGTGAGTCTGCTAAATTGTGACCAATGTATTTCTCCTCTGTACACATTCTCTTTTAAACCTGTCATTCTCTCTTATTCAGGTCAATAGATGTGAGTCTCCAATGTACCAATAAAGGGAAACCTGGAGAACAAAGAAGTTACATTCTTGGCTTTTAGTGAACGACAGAAAATAACTGAAGTAATATATAACAAAGCACAATCTTGGATTCTTGTCCTCCAAAGCAATTATGACATCCTCCTAGTTGGGATCTGACAATCCTAGATAGATGTCTACACTCTACTTGCCTCCATTCCAATCCAAGCCAAATCCAGTGAAGGGAAAATAGATGCCTGACCTAACCAGCTGCCCACTTCCAGCTGCAGGTGCTTTGCCAAAGCTCTTCTCCAAGCTTTACTTCTTTACTAGGAAGAAAGGGGCTGCCCAATTTAAGTTAGCCCCCATCTCTGCTAGTTCCAGGGGTCATCAGCCAATAATCCGAGTTACAAGACATAGATGTGGTGGGAAATATGGCCTAAAAGACATTTTGGAGCCAGATGGGGATGGATCTTTAATATAATATCTGATGTGTTATTGAGGCTCTGATTTGAGAGATGTTACCAAAACAGCAGAGACTAAATTAATTGTAGGGATTGGAGTAAAGCTCCTCTGCATTCTTCCTTTTCTTTTTTCTATTCTTTTCTCTCTACCTGCCTCCTCTTTCTCTTCTTACTCTTCCTTTTTTCTTCTATTGCTTTCCAAATGTAGGTTTTAGTGAGCCATTTCTGGAACACCAAGAAATGTAATGCATGGATCAACTTGTAGAATGTCTCCAAGTCTCTAGTTTGCTGGGAGCAGCATGGCTTTGTCCCA